GTAGCAGCGCTGTAGTGCTTTCAGGAGTCTCCACTCTTAAGTCACAGCGGCTTGAGTGCCCTCTGAGCTCAGTTAGAGTTTCAAGGTGAGATGAAGTCCATCATAAACCCATTCTGGACGCAGCATGGCTGTATGTCCACATTCACTGCAGCACTCCTCCATCCACCAGAGTCATGTACCCTCACAATGAAGGTCACAGAAAACCAGAGTCCCTGTCTGGTGGACAGTAGGCCAGGCAGGAGGGAGAGCACATGCGATGAGAAACAATCGAAGACCCCCGAAAAACACAAGGAGCACATGCAGACTCCCCACAGGCAGGTGTTCGAGGTCAGGGTCAAACCCAGAGCTAATCATCTCGCCACCAGCCTGCCCCTCGTCCAACAGGCACTGTGCTACTCAGGGCACGGCTCTCAGGCCTGTGTGCCTTGTTGTACCACAGTTTCAAAAGGTTCATCTGACAATGTTGTGGCTCGGGCTCCCCTCTCCTTATAGAGAGCACAGCCCTAAGAAGCCCTAAGAAGCAGCTGCCTTCCCAGAGACTGACATAAAAGGCACTCGACACATCACCAAGCACAAACCTGAGCTGGCACAAACCCATCAGGGCCCTGATACAGCCCGGGGGTTTTAACCTTCTGGGACAGTGGATTTCCCCACCGCTTGGAAATCCTCTCTTGTCTTGTGCTTTAGGGGAATGGAGATTGAATCCAGGCTGGGAACGAATCCCCCCCCACCACCACCACCCCACTCTTGCGCCACGCAGGGCCTGATGCAGATGCTCAAGGAAGAACCCAAGTGCTGGATAGCTGAACCGCTTGAGAAGCTTGGGTGCTCATTTTCATATGACAGGAGCTCCAGGTTACTCACTGCTCCTGCTGCTGCTCCCACAGCTGTGTGATCAGAGGAACGGGTATTTCCTCTACAGTATCAGTGTATTAGTTTGGGGCTGCCAAACATGCGGAACTCATTTGTGCCTCTTGGACAAAACCCCACTGAACTGTATTGACAAGAAAATTGCTTCAGTGCGTCTCGGTACGCAGCTGTGAAACAGTTTTCTTCAGAAAGCTTTTGAAGACAAACAGCATTGATGAAGTGGTATTATCGAGACTTGGGGGCTGCACAGTGATGCAACGGTCAGCACAGCTCCCCCGCAGCACTGGGGCTCTGGGTGTAGTTCCAGACCAGGGTGCTGTCTGTGTGGAGTCTGCATGTTCTCACCAGTTTTTGCATGGGTGTCCTCCAGGTGTTGTGGTTTCTTCCCACAGTCCCAGGGCATGCTGGTAGGTTAATTGGCTTCTGGGAAAATTGGCCCTGGTGTGAGCGGGTGTCTGTATGGCCCTGTGATGGACTGGTGTCCCAGTCCAGGGTGTGTCCTGCCTTGTCCCATCGCTTGCTGGGATAGGCTGCGGCTCCCCCTTGACCCTGTACTGGACAAAGCAGTCAGAAGATGGAAGGATGGGTCAAGGCACAGGATTATAAACGACCGTGCAACAAGATTCCGTTTTAAAGCTGCTGAGATCCATATTTGGATCACGTTCGGTTGTTGTAATTGGCAGAAGTCAGAGGGTTCTGCAAGATTACATTCTGTGATAGTGGAGCTATTTGCTTTCCAGCCCTGCCCTCATATTGCCAAGGAATGGTGATCTCAGGGGCCTGCAAAGGAAACTGTTTTGGTGTGGGGGCCTGCCGCCCGAAACAGTTTCTGTAGTTGTTTTCGCACAAGCACCACGAGGCAGCCGCATGGTGTAGCAGCCCTGGGTTCGAATCCCCCCACTCCTCCGGGGTTACTGCAGTTGAACTCCCACCACACTGAATGGGAATACAAGCTGTTCACTTGGGGTGAAAGAAGCCTGCCAAGTATATAAATAATACCGTACAGTAGCCAAAGAGAAAAACAGGATGCTGTGTTTACAGAGCGCTATTTCTTCTGAGGGGGCACAGCGTGAAGCTTGTTACCTGTTTGTTTGAAGGAAGGAAGGATGTGCTCTGACGATTTTGGACGGAGCAGTAAGCTTTGTTCCAGCTCTGTCGTGTTTGTGATGGGATTCCTAGACAACTATTTTGATCTCTGCGCCGCGTGTTTCGCCAACACACAAGCCCCGAGAGAAACCCGTCCAGTCGTGCCGTAGGTGGTCTTTCGGGTTACACAGGCCGGTCTGCACCGCTTCGGTAAACGAGACAATCCGCAGCTGGAACATGCGCTTGATGCGTGTTGCGTTAAAAAAGAATCAAAATCCAGTACGGCTCAAACCCCTTGGTTCTCCGTGTCTTCCCTTCATGAAACCAAATATCCGCTTTTCCTATCGTCGCCCTCACTGTAGGGCCGGGCTCTCGTGATATATTGAAGCCGCTTCGTGCGACTTTCTGAGGAATGCTGTGAGAATAGAAGACGTTCACACAGCCTTCCCAAGTTCACACACACACACTCACACACACAGAGAGAGGTCTTCGGCCTTCCCACACGCTCCCACGACACTGATCGGGGAAATCGCCAACGACGCGACGCGACGGGCCCTCTAGGTGGTTAAAAACAAGCGTTGTTAAGGAATCGTTTACGCTCAAACCGCTTGGCGACTGGATGTCCTGCGGACCGGTATGA